TTAATCCTGAAGGGCATTTCTGTATGGGAAATGTCTTATCTCTAGCTTGTATGCTTCATGTGGTGTGGGGGGGGGCACGTGCGTGCGCGTGCGCATGTACGTGTGCATGTGTATGCATATGTGGTATTTATCTCCTCAGTTCACAGACCCTACCTTAGTATGCCACTCAATGCAGCTTGTCTTGGACTTAACTAAGAGTTATTCCTGTGGCCATGCACTTTTTCATATTTGTTTTCTTATCTGTCTCAATACTCCCAAATGTGTATGTTCAGGTTGCTTTGGTGAGTCCACTTGTGACCTAAGTGACAGTGCTTTCTGTAACATGTACTACTTCCAGACTTTTGTGTCATTTGTTGAAATTCTGTAACTCTCGCAAATGACATCAACTTGCTTAGGTGGTGCTCACAGTAACCCACAGCCATGTTTTCAACACTAAGACAACATTTCCCTGTTAAAATCAATAGCTACCTAGGAGTCTTCTTTGTTAAAAATTCAGATGTCGCCGGGCAGTGGTGGTGCATATCTTTAATCCCAGCACTCCGGAGGCAGAGGCAGGCGGATCTCTGTGAGTTCGAGGCCAGGCTGGACTGACAGCCTCCAAAACAATACAGAGAAACCCTGTCTCGTAAAAAAAAAAAAAAATCAGATGTCCTTCAGTGTGTGGAGTTACGTCTGGGTCTTCAATTCTTTTCCATTCGTCAACATTTCTGTCTTTATCACTATAAATACTGCATCATTTAATTACAATAACATGTTGGTTTTCTTGCTATAACTTTCGTACTACAAGCTGAAACCTAGGGTAGTGATAGACACAAAAGGGGTGAGGACAAAGTCTCACCTCTAGAAAAGAGGTGTTTGCAATTGGTATCTGCGGGGAGAGGGAAAATCAGTTTTCATCAATATAGAGACAGTGGATCTATCAACCACACTCCAGGGAAAGCCTTGTGCTCGGGAGTAGCTGACAGATATAAAACGGTCTCTGTGCAAATTGCTTTTTGTTTGTTTTTATTTGTTTTTGTTCTTTTAAGGGAAAGAAGGAGCAGTTGCACGGGTAGGGTGGGGAAGGAGTTGGAGGAGTGGAATTTATGGTCAAAATAGACTGTATGAAAAAAATTAAAAACAAAAATAGTAAGCAACAGTGAGTAGTAACCACATACTCACTAGGTACATTTGTACAATGGAGTACTACTCAGTGGAAAAAAATCAATGGAATCTTGAAATTTGCAGGCAAATGGATGGCACTAGAAGAAACCATCCTGAGTGAGGTAACCCAGTCACAAAAAGACAAACATGCTATGTACTCACTCATATATGGATTTTAGACATGGATAAGGGGAGTGCCAGCTTACAATCCCACTGCCAAACCTTCATCAGCAACTGATGGAAACAGAGGCAGACACCCACAGCTAAACACTGAACTGAACTCCTGGAACCCACTGACAGAGGGAGGAGTCATGAGCAAAGGGGTCAAGACCAGGCTGGTGAAACCCACAGAGACAGCTGACCTGACAAGGGGGAGCTCTTGGACCCTACATTGATGGCTAAGAGGCCAGCATACAACTGATCTAGACCCCCTGAGTGTGGTGTCAGTGAGGAGGCCTCGGCAATCTCCTCACTTGGGTAGAAGATCAATATTTACCATGGTGTACAAATGAATTTTGCGAGCCCATCCCACATTGAGGGATGCTCTCTCAGTTTAGGCTCTGCACTGGATGAAATGACAGACTCTGGAGATCCCCCATGGAGGGCCTCATCCTCCCTGGGGAATGGTGAGGGGATTGGGTGGGGGACAGGGGAGCTGGTGGAGGGAAAAAGGAGGAGGGGAGGGAGAGGGAGCTGGGACATGTGAAGCAAGCTTGTTTCTAATTTAAATTAAAAATATTATATATATAAAAAGAAAGTCTGTGAGATGAAGCTACCCAAGGGAAAATGTCATCATCAAAGCCACCTTCCAGCTTGTGTTTCTTTTGTTTTTTAATTAAAGAAATATAAAAGTACTGTTTGTTTTTCTAGAAAATTCTGAAATAGAGACAATATAGAAATATAGACATGTGCCTACAGGCAGACACAACTGTTCGTGAACCCTAAGCCTAGCTTCTTACTATCACCTGACCCTAGTGTGAAACATTTATGCTACTTCTTATTCTTATTAGGAATTGGGAAGACCCTAGTGTGAAACATTTAAAAAGACTTTATAAATTAGCAAAGCTATGTATGTTTTATTAGTGCATTAGATTGCATAGAAGATGAGTCTGTAGACAGAATAGCTAGTTAAGCCCTAAGTACAGTTCATGTTGGGTTTTGGCTATCTTCTTTTACCTGAGTTATAAACAAAGTTGGCTCTACTAATCTAAAAGATTTTTGCTGAGCATCTACTATACACCAGAGGCCTGACAGGTTTTAGAAAAAATAGTTTATTGAGTTCTGTTATGGAAATTTATACTCTTAGGGACATTGTTAGTGTTGTTGAAGAGCAGAATTTGATTTGATTGAAAGGTTATTTTGATTCAGATTCTCTTAAGAAAATTTAATGAACTTGTGATTATTTCTTCTTACAAAAAGAATAGAATCACTTAAACGTCCCTTACATGCTCATGAAAGAGAACAAATGGTAATTCTTGACCAAATATTGTTTCCTGGTCATTCACCAAAAGTTGTCTTAATTTAACTTGCAAGCATTCACAGCGTGGCATTTTTAGACTCACAGCCTGGAGAAGCTGGGGAAGAGTGTTCTTGAACGAAGTGAACTTACTTCCTAATTCTACTTGGGATCCGAAAACTAGACTCAATGAAACCCAAACCTCAAGTGAACATGAAAGAAGAAAAATAACCCAGTCACAAAAAGACAAATTTGAAAATGGTTAGAATGAATAATGCAGACTAGGCGGTATTTCAGAAGAGAAACACATGAGGGTGCTCTAATAAGCTGTCATAATAAATTAATTAAACTGTAGTTATTGGGAGTAAATTGAGGTCTTATGTGAATGGCCATGCTGAGTTGCGACTTAGCTTTGTTTAAACAGATATATCTTGAAATGTATGATTTTTCTCTCAAATAAAACATATTTTCCCCCACCATTACCCTCTAATTTAAAAGTAGATGGAGTTCATATCAGACAATTTGGGAAACACTAAAAAGCGACAGAAGGAAAAACCTGGACAGATGTTCCTGTCAGTCCTTGGAGGCCGGGGTTTCCTAGAGCTTAGCTCAGGAGGACTGCCTTCAAACACAAGCCCAGCCTGTTCTCATTTTGAGTCCACAGGCCTTCTGCTTGTAAGAAGGGGGAGTTGGTACCGGGGGCCTAATGACCACAAGGAGAGAATTAGAGACGCATGTTTATCTCAATACATTTACTCTCATTAAAGTTCATATTCACTGACATCATGCATCTCCTTGAAAAAGGCTGCCCACCCACCATTAATTAAAGCCACATTTTAAAAAGTCAGTGTGTGCACTTTTATTCCAATCAAAAGTAGCCTCCTAAGTTTCGAGGAGCAGGCAGTAGAATATCTGAGGCCCGACAGCTGTTCATGTCTACACAGTGAACAATCATGTGATTTACATTAAAACACTTGTTTATGTAGGAACTAGTGTATAGCTATTGTTTTGAAGATTAGAGCAATTCATTGTCTAATAACTTTTTATAAAAACTTAACATATATTTTAATAACTCAACACTCTTTGGGATACAATGTAGTTATATAGTATCATAGAGCCTATCTTTCCAAACAGAGGAATCTAGTTAAAATATCCCATTCAAATAATTAAGCCATGTACTTCTGTCAGAGACACCAGGCTTTATAACTTAAAGGTAGTCTATCGATGTCAAAACAAAGGTCAGTATAGGTTATTTTTATCTAAATCATTGCACAAACAACAATTGCCAATGGTAGTAGTCAATATATATATTTGATGTGCTAAGGTAGGTAGAGTCCCTTTTCTCCAACCTATGTGAAATGAAATTTGTTCTTTTCGGGAGCACAATAAAATCATTTCACCCAAGCAGAGCTGTATTCTTTTTTCTATGCCTTTTCATATCAGTCCCTCCTCCACACCTTTCAATTTTTTGCTTATCTTTTTTTTTTTACAAATCAAAATAAGATATATTTGGTGTTTTATTAGCAAAAGACAAATTATAGCTGTTTCTTTGGGCAGTGACGTTATCTTATAGTGATTCAGACCAAACAGTTGTTTATCTCAGCTAGTTTCTTCTTTCTGCCCAAAGGCACAGATAACTACATTCTGGTTCTTTCATTATTTTGGCCAAGCTGCTACCTACACAGTCTTCCCTCATTAATGCTTTGGCCAGACGTATTAAAGCATTTTAATACTAGGTTGAAGTACCTTGACCTTGGAGCTAACCTGAGTTCTGCTCCTGCCCTCTGCCTGACTCTTGGTGATAACCTTAGGGACTTCAGTTTCCTTATGCACCAAATGCATGTTTGAAGGTGGTTGCAGACCAGATTCCTATGAACTAGGAGGTTCATCTAGATAAAAGGATAAGGGTGTTCTTTGGTTCTCTTATTCATCCAGTAACATAAAAAAGGGAGTGAGTGGGTCTAGTTTCAAAAGAAAGTACCCCTGCATTCAAGAGAAGGCAACCCGCCATGCTTGGTGAATTGCTTTCATGGAATATTGGGAGAAAATGCTCTAGGCATTGATAAACCATACAAGTATTCAATATACTATTGCTTTTCAGGATGAACTCTCTGGCAGATGATACCTTTTACTTGGACTCCACAATATCCAGAGGGATCACAAAATACTTGACTCACTTCTCTGCTCAAGGCAATGGGGTGGACTCCTTGGGGCATGGCTGGGGACGTCTCAGCCCAGTTGGTGGCACTCTTTAAACAAGTGACCCTGGGCTGGGGATGGGGTCAGTGGGAAGCTGTGTCTACACAGCCTTTAGTTAACTCCAGGAAATATGAAGATAAGCTCTATCTCAACAAGTCACATGGCTACCGGGCCCTCAAGTGAGCAGGAGAGCGATTCATACCTTTCTTCCAGCTCTGTTGTTGTGAAGATTCATCAGGGCTCTGGCATCCTTCCCTTTCCTTTCCTTGGCATCTACAAATGCACGGGCAAACTTGATCCCATAGTCAATGTTGTCACTGCAGCCACCCCAGTCAAAGGTGCCCTTGCTGTCCTTGGCACTTCCTTTCTTCTTTGGGTCGCAGGAGCAGGACTTTAATTCTCCTTGGCTACAGGCCCTGGTGATGGCAAATACAACTCCAGCTGAGGAGATGGCGTAAACAAAGGCAGATTCCCGACTACCTGAAATAAAAATGCTTTTCTTAAAAGTGGTCAGAGAGCTTCTCTTCAAGTGTTCCGCATTGCTGACATACGGTGAACTGCTTGGCATATCATCTCCTATAGTGGTCAAGGATTCTTTTCTAGATCCCAGGCTATTTCTTTAACATGAACCACTTGCACTTAGTGTAGGATTTGGTCCATTAGACAAATATCTAGTGCCCAACTCTTCTTAAATATAGAGTAGAAATGATAAAAGATAGCCTTGCTCCTGGTTTGAGCAAATCACATTCCTCCTCAACCCTAGATGTCCCAGAAGAGTTGAAGTGGCATGAGTCACCCTAGTTTCACCATCTATAAAACAGTCTGGATTCTACAGCTCTGCTATCATTCATTCCATTGTATGGTGTAGAAGTCATGATATCACAGCTTGGAAAAAAACTGTCACATGCAACAGTGTCTGTCTTGCCTACTCCAGAGGCTGGGCTGGAGGACTGCTTGAACCCAAGAGTTGGAAGCTAGAGCAAACAAACACCCTCCCACATCTCTAGGCATTACTGAAGACACCAAGACAAATTTAACTTACGGACAGTGGAATTCTGAAATCAAGGAAATCTTGGGGCTAGGGAGGGAGGAGAATTCAGTCAGCCACCAGCCCCTGGCATTAACTCTGGAGAACTGGCTTGCCATCAACATTCACAAGTAATTGGAAGATCGTTGAGGGTGATATGCAATATCCTTGGGTTGTATACGGTGTCTAACTACTAAGGTGATTTCCCTTTCTTCTGGAACACCTGCACTAATCATTGGTATCGGGTCAAAGACAGTGAAAAGCCTTTCCTTTGGTTTTTCTGGAAAGAAACAAATTACCACCTATAATTAGACTTGGGCAAGAATCCTTTGGGGGCTTTCTTAGACTTGTTCTTTATTAGAGAGCAGCCCACTTTCACTTGCAGGCTGAGAGGTACATATTTCAGTGCAATAACTACATTAAATTATTTTAATAATCTGTAGTAACTCATAACACAGTGTTGTGGTACAGTGACAGATATAAGGCTCTTTGGGGTCGGCGTGCACCTCATTTTTCAAGTGGAACCGTATTTCATTGTTATTAGCGTAGCTTTTTATTAATGGTTGCTGCAGCAAATATATTAACAATCAAAATAGAAGCTGGACCAGCTAATGCCAATGCAAGGCAGAGAGCAGAGAACCATTCAGTGACTCAATCTGTCAAGACCAGTGTGACTTTTTGAACCACACAGCCGGGAGAGCAGGCTACTTCATCACATTGAAACTACTCGCTTCCACATGTCACTCTGTGCTGCAGCTTACCGTGCATCCCTGGCAAAAATTGCATTGCTAGCCTCGATATTAAAAAACAGGAACACATATCTACACCATATTAAATGGTGCTTACCTCAGCCGTTTAGGAATATCTCCCTCCAAATCCCTAACCATCAAAAAGGGTGCTAGTTACTTAGATGGATAATCACTTAGATGAGTATTTGCCATCTGTGGGCTCCTAGGAACTATTTCAAAAGTCCCAACTTAGGCTATAAGGTTCACACACAGGTGAAGAGGAATTGGGAGGTGGTAACTAATATAGCTTAATTTTGTCTACTGGCTTTTAGATAAATAACACTTTCCTTATATATTTGTTTTTATAGTTAAAAAAATTCCTGGCTGATAGTTGTCTGTTTTGATCATTGAAAGTCTAATTTGGGATTTGGAGTTCAGTGTTCATATTTACAATTACCAGATAGGAGAAGCAATCATACATGCTTAATGTATTTGCCACTAATTTTATAGTTTGAGGGAAAGCATGGGTGACATGGATCGCGGCATATTTTTAAAGCACTAGGGTGGGGTTTGAACCACGTAGTTCTCCTGCAACTCCTAAAAAAATCACACTAACTTGTTGACTCAACCAAATAAAACAGTAGTTTTCTGTCATTCAAAAACAATTTCTGAAGGAAAAACGTTGTCTTTCTAAATACTTATTAATCAAACACATTCATTACTGTCTAGCTATTCCTACATGACTCTTTGTTTTACCTTCAGATGTTATGGGATCATGTCTTCAGTTAAGTGTTTAGGTGATTCACTAAAATACATGTGTGAAATAGTAGCACAGTTTGAGATCTGGCTTCATAGCAAACCAAACTGTGATCACGGGCTTGTTAGAAAGACTGGTTCTTCTTCAGGTCATCATAACTGAAATAAAACCCTAATCTGAATGGTAGTGTGGATGCTTTCTAGAGTGTCGCTGTTGAAGTGGCCATCATTTGGGGATTGAGATGCATTGAGCAATGTCAACTGGGCAGGGTTTGTTTGGGTTTAGGAGGACTTTCCTGGGAAGGCAAAACACTGAGCTATTGTTTCTTGAGGGTCATGGATTTCCAACTCTTTAAAAGTGTTTTTTTTTTATCCCTACTTTACCTTTCTTATATTCTCTTGTCTTTTCCTCTTGAAACTTACAAAGATGAACCCTAATCACCTTTTGTTTCTTCAGCCTATTCTAGAATTTCAGAGGTATCTACTTAAAAGGCAATATTGGGGTTTTTCACTACCCGTGAAAAAGAGTAAATTCTAAATGTTCTTAAAAGTCATTCTGTTGCCGGGCGGTGGTGGTGCACGCCTTTAATCCCAGCACTCGGGAGGCAGAGGCAGGTGGATCTCTGTGAGTTCGAGGCTGGGCTGGACCGACAGCCTCCAAAACAATACAGAGAAACCTTGTCTCGTAAAAATCAAAAAAAAAAGTCATTCTGTTTTACTCAAATGGGTCTCTAGGGCACATGAGACAATTGCTCTCCACTTCTCTATACTCATGGGGGATTTTAGTAGCAATAATGATCTCCTTACAGGGTGTTACCCTTCATCTTTCTTCCCTGATCACCTAAAGGTACATTAAGGTTTCTAACAGAGAGTTCTTCACAACTATAGATTGAAATGTCCCTCTGAGTAATTAACTGCAAGAAGTCTGTGAATTACTTCATTGGAATTTCATGATTATTTCCAGGATAAGCTACTATAGGCCAAATTCAGCCCTTCACAAACCAATGCAAAAATCATCCTTGACAGTTGCTGGGATCTGCAGAGATGCCTAGGAAGAAGCTGACCTTCTGCAAAGAGTGCAAAGAAACCATGTGCTGTGAGGGTTTTAAGTTTTGAGCACCTTGGCAAAGTGCTCAACGTCATCTGTAGGAAGTCCCAGCTGGAAACCCTTATTCACCTGAGGCCGTAGGCCAAGGCAATTAGTTCTGTTTTCTCCCATCACCAACTCTTCCCACTCAGTGACCTCGATGTAGTCTATGAAATAGTCCCCAGCTTGGGCAGAGATGCCATCTTTTGGATCATTTGTTGAAGCTGCTTCCTTTTAGGTCAGTGTCATGGCTCAGCAAGAAAAGGCTGAGTTGACTGACTGGAACACATAGTGGAAAGAGGGAACCCAATCCTGAAACTCTTCTCTCTACCTCCACATGCCCCAACCCTTGCCGAGTAATAATACATTTAAAAATTTAAATTGCTTCCTTTCACTTATTATCTAAAGGCTTTGGTGTTTTTTCCACCCCTTTATAAGCAAAGGACTTAATGGGGCTACAGGTTATCACTGCACAAATGGGACATTCTTCTAATTTAAAACCACTGGAAACTCTTGATCTATTTTAATCAGGGAAAAACTTACAAACAACACAGCCTATGAGGACTTGTGATGGATATTTGCAAATTCTCTTTGACAAGGTCCAGCACTAATTGATGCACTGGTGAACTAATCTAGGTGAAGTCTTAAAATTCCATGAGGCTGACATTTGCTATTATCCTTTCGAAAATTTGCGATGTCATATCGAAACTCTAAAAGGAATGCATAAGAATATAGTTCTTAAACTAGAGAATAAAATTGCAGAGTATCACAGTAAATTAACTTTAGGGATACTCTAAGAGTGAGAGTACTACGCCCTTGGGGGATTTTAGAGACATTCATTTATGCATTTGGCCTCATAAAACCCTAGGGCTATGATGATGACATGATAGAAACACCCTCTGTTAAGCATTACCAAGTGTACAGCTTGGATGATTTTCCTGGGAATAGGAGGGATTGGGGTGGGCAAAAACAAGGCTAAAGTTCTCTGTTTCTGTCTTTGCACACAAACTGTTGTATTTCTAGTCAGATTTCCAACTAACACATGGACAGAGTCATTTCTTGAAGAATGCTACTCCCGCCAGCTTAATGGATGAATATTATTTGAAAGCAAAACTTGACTTTAAATTTATCTTCTCTGATTATGTGAGAATTGATCACTAGCTTTGAGTTACTTTCAACATTCAGACACTTGAAGGCCGCCTTTATCTAGTTAGAAGGAGGAATTAAATCTTCCTCTAATAGAAAAAGAAACCTGTGTATTTGGGGTCCTTCGTCCTCATTCAAGAATATTTTTACTGTCTAAAAAGCAATAGATTCTCAGTACACATTTACCTACTCATTCACCGTAATGAATGAATGGAACCTACAATGCACAGGTACCAATCAAAGTGCACAAAATCCAGGCCTGTCCCCGCCCTTGTGGAATTTACATTCTATGGAAAGCAGAAAGTAGATGCAGAGTGACCCTGACCTAGTTATTCAAATGAGAGGTCAAAGGTGGTGAGGTGAGCTTTGTCTCTACACACAAAATTTTCGTAGTGCATTTAAGTCAGGTAAAGATGTGAACGTACTCTCTTGCTCTTCAGATCAAATTCCTCTGAAGGCTCAAGCCTCAGAAAGACATTAAAAAAAAAAGTCAAAAGAGTCCTGTGGTTGCTTCTTTCTTTCCAGAGACAACATTTGATCCCAGATGGTCATGCAGTGCTGAAGTGAAGGTCAGAGCAAAGAAGGAAAGGACACCAGCCCGCAATCCTTCAGCCCATAGTTTCTCAGCCTGCTCCCCCAAAGGCTTATAGACTTGAGACAGGTCCTTGACTGACACAACTCTTATCTTTGGAAGGAGATGATGTTACCCCAAAGCACGGAGTCGCTGAAAAGAATTCCACTAAGGATGAGCAGAGGCTTTGAGCACTGGTACAGGGAGGGCCAGGAGCAGGGAGCTAGGTGAAGGTTAGAGACTTACTTCGGAGGAGGACCCGGCCAAAGAGGCTGTGATCTCTGTCCAGGGTGTTGCAGTTCCAGCGGTGCTGGCGGAACTGATGCTGGCACTCTGCTGTCCACTCAGCCACACCCAGGCCAATGGCACGCATCACATCAGGGTGTCGGTGGCACAGCTGACGCTGGCGGCTCACCAGGCCTGGCACATTGTCACACATCACCCTGGAGGAGCCACCTGTAGCTCTCATGTACCTGTGAGAGACCACCAGAGAGGCAAAAGTGATGTGACCAGAGCGTGGTGCTGCCCAGGAGACCAGCATTCAAAGCACTGTTTGAGTGTGAATTACTTATCCTCTGCTAACACCAGAAGGCAGGGGACCTTTCCATTGCTATCATTTTCACTCAGTGCGGTAGCATGGCCAAAGCTACTTCCAAACAGAGTGATGACTATCTCCCAAAGTGGGGGCTACCAAATGATGCTTTGAACAGGGAGGAAGAGTATTGTGAAGATCAGGGCCTGAAAAGGGGGGGGGCAATGTGTTTGGGAGAACACAGAGAGAATTTCAAAGAACTCTCTGCTCTCAGTGAATGCCATATGTCTGCTTTTGGCTTTGGAGGAAGCTGACCTTTAGAAGTTCCTCACTCCCATTTGTCTGACCTAAATGTCTTCAGAACTGCATGCATCTATCCCGTTAGCACCTGCTGGGATCGGTTGCTGCATTCTTCTTACAATCATGCCATTCTTTCCACACTAAAGAATCCTTAAGATGGTTTCATTTTCTAGCCCCCCCTTTTTTTGACACTTATAGAAACTGTTGGGGGGGATCTTTCTATTGCTATCAAGAGCACTAAATATTTGGAGGAATCAGCATTATACACTCTGAAAAGAAACTTTAACAAAAATTATCCCATTATTTCTGGGCAGATGTTCTCCATTAGTTGTGAAACATTTAGAAAAGTACCTTTTATACCACTCAAGCTGCCGAGGGTGTCTTTTGAAGTGATCAAACAAGGGGAATATCTTTTTCTTTGCATTGCCATTGTTTTATATGGTCATAAAATCATTACAGCTGCGACTTGCAAAAATATTTATTTAAGTGACAGCTGAGAGACAATGTGACAAAATGCTGGAGCAATAAATAATATTTACACACACATGGAAACAGAAATAATCGTTTTATTGAAAGAATGGTCAATCTGATAAATCATTCTTTGATTGCATGCCAGCAATGTCAAGGCTAAAGGACTCCCTGTTCAACTCACTTAGGAAGGAGCTGACCCCCTACCCCAGCCCGGATAGCATCAGTGCTTTGTTGTTCCCCTCAGGTATTCAGATGTCTAAATAGTCACTGACTCTGACCTGAATTTGGCTGAGATCCTTACCGTTGTCCAATACAAAAAGATGTGTGTGTGGGGGGGGGTAGCCAATCTTTCTGAATTGCTATCAGAGTACTTTAAATATCTGCCCTGGTCCTCTACATACAAGAAAGTTACAAAGCTCTCAACTCCATCTCTTTTCAAGGTTATAAAGTTAAGAGATGGAGACGATTTCTGGATAGGCAGAGAAGATGCAAAATAAATCATAGATCAGCATACAAAGACAGCAGCCTAGCTACCCTTTAGGAAGACAGTCTTGAGTAGGGCAGCATCTTGGGGACCTCAGATCCATCAGTTTTGCATCAGGGCAATAGTCCCTACCTGGAGGTTGCCTCATTGGGGGTGAAGCACCAGGAATGTGGAATGATGAAAAACAATACAAAACCACACGCTTCAGGTCCTACAATGACTCCAACTGCCTGGACTGATTTCTCTTGAGACAGATGTGGCAGTTGTAGTTTTCAAGGTGAATTCTCTCTCTCTCTCTCTCTCTCTCTCTCTCTCTCTCTCTCTCTCTCTCTCTCTCTCTCTCTCTCTCTCTCTCTCTCTCTCTCTCTCTCTCACACACACACACACACACACACACATCTGTACTACACTTAGAGATCAGGCTAGCACATTTCTCAGGGGAATAAGATATTGGCTGCTTTTGCTGTCACTCAGCTGGATCCAAACAACTAAACATCAGAGATCTCATTTGTGGGCATGGGAATTTTTTTTGGAATTGTCAAAGCTAAAGTGGATTTTTGAGAAAAGCAAAGGGGTTAGGATCAAGATGCTGTGATAAGACCCTGTTGCTCCAGAATCCACAATTGCTAGGACTGGGAAACAGCCAGGGAGGGTCTATGCGACCAGTAGGGTCCCCTCTCCCATCTCCAAAAAAAAAATCCATCAGTACCGCGCCCATATGCGTGGACTTACCACCATGAAGAGCTGACCTCAGGGGCGAGCCAGGTCAAGAGCAGAGGGAGCCAGAGCCAGATTCCACCGAGAGGGACGTTCATATTAACCCCCTTGCGTCTACATCAGGTCAGACTCCGTGTGCGGGCGCCATGCGTGCCCGGAGCAGAAGCGCTCAGCTCCGGGAGCGCCTCGTCACGGCTGCCGGCGCCTCTGCGCCCCCGCCCCCCCCGCCGCTCGCGTCTGCGGCTAGTGGTGAGACTCACTGATAAAGTTTCAAAAGACGAGCCCAGCGAGCGATAAAGGGCAGCCGGGAGCGCCTCGCCCACAGTCAATTCCCCAGGCGCTGCTAGCGCAGGCAGCCCCGAGCTCTGCGTGCCTCCCGCGCACCCTGTCCTTTCGGTTCCCCTCCAGGCGCAGCCAAAGAAGGGGACGCTGCGCCGGGCGGGGCGTGGGGGGGGCACCAGGTTTTATAGAGGAGTGGGAGAAACGATGGCAAGAGACACCTTCGGGTGAGGAGGGACAGAGGAGGTTGGCAAACCTCGCAGTTACCACGAGCATCATTGTGGCAAAGGCACCTTTGGGGAAGTTCCTACCAAGGAGCTTCAGCGTAGGCTCTGCTTTGGCAAGGCAAGCAGTTTCTGGTAAACTGAAGTCCCTGATCATGCAACATTGGGGGACGGAGGTGGGGGGAGGGGCATGAGGAGGTAACTGCGCACAGGATACAAGAAACCAAAAATGACTTTCAACTCATTGCTTCAATATTGGGAGGTAGTACTCATGGGAATTGGGATCTGCAGTGTCTGAGTGGGATAGGTTGAGAACGGGTAGCCTAGGCCTTGGAAATGAAGACCTTTGGCCTTGATTCCTGTGTTCCATACACGAAGAGAGCAGAGTGGCTGGGTCCCAGGAGATCTCATGCAACAGTTTCAGCCTAAGCGCCCCTGGGAAGGTGCGCCTTTTAAAGCACATGCAGCTCCTCCTAGCGCTGTCGAGGGAGCGCAATAGATCACAGACCTAGGGGCTCCTAGGCATCCAGGCGTCTGCTCCCAGGCTTGGATTACACCTCTCCAGCCAGGGTGCCCAACCTGTGCGCCTGGCCAAAGTACAGTGACGCTGCTGGATCTCGGACCTGGGTCCCCACAGAGTAGAGATGGGGCTTGGGCCCGAGGGTGGAGCATCTTGAACAACAACTGGCTTGTAGCCTCGTGGTTTATCACCAGAAGGGAAGACCAGGAACTTACAGCGACCTTGAACTGTTCCATTGCTCTTTTCCTGGGGCGGGGGGCCCTCCGCCACCACCCAGGAGCGTGCCTCGGGGAAGAGGGAGCATAAAGGGGTTGTATGGTCATTGTGTGCAGGGCCTGCAGCTGGTCGGAAGGACAGCGGTGCCCCCCACCCGCATCGCCCACCTCTTGGGTCGGGATCCTCCAGAACGTTCGCTATTGCCCACCACCGAGCGGTGAGAGGCTGGGACTAGGCACAGCCCAGAGATGCCAAAAACCTGAAAGATGCTGTCATCGCCACCCCCTTCCCCCTCGCTGTCCGTGGCAGGTCCGGCCCCTCCCAGGCTGACCCAGATACATCCCCTTTTGGGTCCGGAAAGGGAGGAGAGGGAAACAAGCACCGCGCCACCCACGACTCGGGAAGAGCAGGGCTCTGCGCCAGAGCTGCTCCATATCACTGGGCTGCGACCCAGGGGAAGTTCTGCTTTGTCGTCTTAGCTGGGCGAGGGAGGGGGTGCGCTGCTGTTCTGAGGAGGAGCGCGCACGCTGGCAGGGGAGGGCAGGGATCATTCCCAACAGCAAGCATTCATTACCTTGTGCACCTCAATTTATGGCCAAGAGCCTTCTTTCTGAAGGAAGCAGAGGGACAGGCTAAAATTTATCTCCACTCGCCATTGTCTTCAGTTTCTTGAAGTACTGAAGGTTTGCTTCTACCAGTAAATAAAGCCAGGCAATGTTTGGGAGTTTTGGGAAGGTAGGCAGGTTACATGGACAATGAAAACGTTAACTACATTTGAAACGCCAGCTCACAAGTCCCAGGCATGCCAGCACACCCTGTCCTCATAGCTCAGGGGCTGTTAGGAACACATGGAGTGTGACCATCAGTTCAGGATCCTTTCCTCTCCGCCCAGGGAATTATATGGCCGGGAGACCTACCCTTCAGTTGATGGTGAGGCCAATGGAATGACCTAAACCTGAAAGAGGCCTCCTGGAAAAGGGATGGACCATCGTCAGAGCCAATTAAATCCTCCCCAAAGAGCTTCATGGGAGGAACACGAGGAAGCGCCGCATGCTTTCCAGAGTACAAATCAGTTTTGGTCAAAGGCAAAAGGCTAAGAAAGTTCAAGAGAGGCTAAACCCAGATGTGAAAGAGGTCCACCCAAACACCCCTCCTGACCTGTCTGCAGGCAGTCTGGGCCCGATGATGATGACTGCTCTCTTCCAGATCTGTCCCTGCTCCACCCGTAGTCACTTGTGACCCATTACATAGTGTAGTTCCACAGTGTCTCTTTCTACCTTCCTCTGGTATGCATCTACTCTCTTAGATGCTCTTGGACAGGTAGTTGGGAAATGCTCAAGGCAAGCAGGGTTTCCGGCAAGCCTTTCTTTCATCATTAGAAATGACCACAGCAAAGAAGAGCTAACGAATGGCGAGGTATGGCAGAGGGTGACAGGCAGGATCCAGAATGCTTTATATCTATCAACTTAAATGTTTGACTTTTCCTTTTCTTCAGTAAGAAATATCGGAATTGACCGTAATTTACTACAACATACAGAATTCAGTCCTTTCCACCCCAATTAAAAAACAAGATTAATGTCAGTTTGCTTATAACTTCAGTATGGCATTTTAGCCAAATGAGTCAGTCTATTTTCTTAGTTAGATCCATTGTTTGTCTAATCTCCCAGGGCAGAGAAGAGAACTAATTTACTACCAGACTATCTCCACCCTTTAAAAATGAAGTTACTTCTTCAACTTCATGGTCATTTGTCTTTCAGTCTGAGTTAGTTCTAGAGGCAGTGATCTCCAATAAAACCATGTAGTTTTCCTTTAAGATTCATTTTCATTATTTTAAACGATATGTAAGTGTGCCTGCATGGGGTATGTGCATATGGCTGTAGGCACCCTCAGAGGCCAGAGTTTTTGGATTACCTGGAGCTGGAGTTGCAGCTGTGAGCCACCTGACATTGGTGCTGGGAACAGACTGGTCCACTGGAAGAGCCACAAGTGTCTTAACCATGGAACCACATCTCTAGTCCCTGTAGCCATTTCTTAATCAGAAATCATTTTAGTTCCAGCATGTATTTCAACAAATTGATGCCAAGACATGCTTCTAACCCCCAAAGAGTAACAAGTACCTGATGTTTTTATACAGAATTGAAGTATACAGCTGGGCAAAACTATGAGACACCTATCTCTCCAGGCACTGGGCAATCGGCAGCATACAATACATTCCTCAGACAAAGAAAAACTTATGATATGTCCTCTACAACTATCTCATGAGTGTTTTGCTTTTTTTCTGCTGAAGATCATTCCCCCCCCCCAGGTGTGTGGGGAAAACGAACCAAGAAAAGCAGGAGTCTCCATTAATGAAGGATGGAAGAGTTGGTGTTACAGTTCAAACTAACAAATTAGAATTTGGATTAAGAGAAGGTCTCAGCAAGAACCAGAAAATGCAAACAGGAGCTAGAAAAATCTTTTTTCTAAGATTTACTTAGTTATTTATTATGTATACAGTATTCTGCCTGCATTCATGCTTGAAGGCCAGAAGAGAGTGTCAGATCTCATTACAGATGGTTATGAGCCACCATGTGGTTGCTGGGAATTGAACTCGGGTCCTCTGGAAGAATAGTCAGTGCTATTAACCTCTGAGCCATCTCTCCAGTCCCACATAGAAACTCTTATAAACATTTGAGGTGGCAGCTTACAGTTTCAGAGGTTTAGTTCATTATCTTCATGGTGGGGAGCATGGCGGCCTGCAGGCAGGCATGGCGCTGGAAAAGGAGCTGCCACACGTTGACTTGAAGACAGCAGGAAATGGTCTCCAACACTGGGTGCTTCCTTGAGCATAGAAAACCTCACAGCCCATCCTCATGGTGATCCTTCAACAAGGTCATACCTACTCCAACCAAGTCACACCTCCTAACAGTGCCATTCCCTATGAGCTTATGGGGGGGCAATTACATTCAAACCACCAAAGACCCTACTTCTAGAATATTCTTGAAATGATAAAACTGTAAATTGTCAGTTGCTAGAGTTATGGGTGATAGACAGGAGAGAAGTGGGTTTGACTATAAATGGAAGGAAGAATGAGTCAGAAAAATCTTATAAATGAAAAATATAGTAACTGTAACTGAAATACTTATAGTGAAAAATCACACAACTCTGAAGACAATAAACCGGAAGATGGGCTGATAAAAATACAATGCAAAGGAAAATTCTGATGCATGGCAATGACAAGTATTTCATTATTACCCATTGCTATGAAGAGAAAATGAAAATGACAGTGTAAATGACTTCATATTTCTCATAATTACAAAAGGAGAGAAAATAGGAAGAACATTGTATAAAATAACGAGAATCATTAGCCTAGAATTCTATATCCAGTGAAAATATTCTTCATGAATTAAAGTCAAATACACATGTACTCAGAAAAAGGAAAACAATGAGAATTCAGTGTCAGAAACCCATGAGAGAACTATTGCTAAAAGTGGTTTTGCAAGCAGAAGAGAAATGTTGCAAAAAGAACCTGACCTGAGGAGGTCTCTCAGTTGGTAAGTTGCTTGATGTGCAAACATGAAGAATTTGACATCAGATTCTCAACACTCATTAAAAACCCAGGAAAAGTATTCATAATGTAATCATTGTGGTGGCAAGATGCCTGGGTCTCAATGGCCCACCTGCCTAGCTGCGTTGATTGGTGAGCTCCATGGTCACTGAGAGACCTAGATGAAAAAATAGGGTGGACTGTTAATTGATGAAGAAATCCTCATCAGCCGCTGGCCTTTATACATATGTGTACTCTTGTGTACATGCAATGTGCAGGAATGTACACAAGGAGTCATGCATGAAAACACACACACACACACACACACACACACATACACACACACACACACACACACACACACACACACACCCGAATGAAATAAAAAGAAATTTGGATGAGAGAAAGGCAAGAGAAATGATACATGTCTATGTAAATATAATGGAGTATACTA